TCTATTGTCTCTGCTTGTTTGGTTTCAAATCCAAAGGATTAGAATTCTATATTGACTCATTGTGTCAAATGTTGGCTTTTTGTTGGTTAGATGGTTCTTTTCCTTAGATTTTACCTTATGTTTTAGGATAGTCCCTCCATCTCCTCCTATCTTCTTTAATTTCAAAAATCTTCTCCCTCATTTTGAAAACTCTTCTTGTTTCAAAACTTGAACCACTTTTATAATAAATTTGGACTTATTTCCATGCATTTTCAAAATATTTTCTTAATCAAACTTTAATCAACTTAATAAAACTTTGACATTTTTGTGAAAATACTAAAATTCGATCAATCTCATTCAAACTATTTTTCCATTTTGGCTTTTTACTTTAAAATTTTCTCAAAAGATTAGACTCTTGTCAATCTTTGTAGTGATGCGAGCTACTATACTTCTACGATATATAGTAAAGTGATATATTTTCCACTTGGGTGTTGAATGAGGCTTTGTTGATTTTAAAATCTAAGCCATATCCTCCACTTTGAGATTATGCAAATTCTCCTTTCTCATAATCGTGGGTAGTAAGTATGTTTTCCACTCGGACAAGGCGATGATGTCTCATCTCTTAAAATCAACCAACACACTTGTGTTTTAAATTTTTTTAAAAGATCAACTATGAGTACCTTGATCTCCTATTACATGGAAGGTGGTACGTAGGCACTAAAGGTTCGCAACCGCGACGGGTGCATAAATTATAAAAAAAAACTTCTTTTCTCATCTCTACAATCCATTTTTTATACAACATTTATAGCCAAAATACACAGATTTACAATGAGGTTCCTACAAAGTACCATAGATGTTTAGGGTGCTAATACCTTCCCTTTGCATAACCAATCCCCGAACTTAGATTCTCCCCCCTATTTTTGGGTTATTCGCTCTTTTCCCATTTCTTTGGAAACAATAAAGTGCAGTAACGATTTTTATTTTGATTTGTGCGAGTCAAGTCAATCCAATGGCTTAGTCTCAACATTTCTACCGCTACACACACCTTGTTGAGATATGTTAAATCCATGAACATTCTCCATTTCCCTTAGTTATTTTTTTACCATCATTATGTTAGCTAACCATGTGGGATATTTGATATCTTGGATGAACCTCGCCTATAAAAACTTTTATTTATCTCTTATTCCACTACTAATATTTTCTCTTCTCCTTCATTTCGCTTCCTCTGGACGACGAGTTTCACTATGGGTTTTATGGACAATTGATGACACACCCCATTTGGATCTATCCAGTGCATATTTGTAGACGCCCAGGCGAAAATATGTGCATTCTACTGCAATAGTCACACAATCTCGATCTCTTATTCTTCCGGAAGTGTTGTTCTGATCTGGGTAGTTAGGTACTCTTCGGGGCCTACCCAAACTATCTTTAGTTCTTCCATGGGAGTCAAACTATCTTCTAGGGGGTCTTCGTGAGGATCTAAGTCAACATAGTGGATTTTATATGCATTTGGGATGTGCTCCTTGTTGATCTTATTTTTTAACTTTAGAGTGTCTCTCTAACACTACCTTGCTAATTCATGGTTTCCCTTTATTACTCCAACTTGCACGTTGCACAACAGGTACTTCATGGTCAAATATAACATCTATAAAACCACCTTCAAAGCATTGAATCCCGACCTAGAAATGATGATGTTCTAGGTGAATAAACATTTGTTACCATATACCTTACTCTTATCGTCTTTGCACTCCCGTCCATTCCGAGGGAGGTCTTGATGATGACCTAACTCAAGACCTATATTTGCTTGTTAAGAAGCGTAGTAGTGATCCCTTAAATGGTTAAAAGAGTTCAAATTCCAACTTTAATCATTGAAGATCCTCCTAATAGAGGATACCCGCCAAATGGTCGAGATCAATCGGTGCTCTTTTCACATTCCAATAGTGGATTTGTAGATTAATCTCAATCAGATTGTCTTCATATGAAATGATAGAATCAACATTTCTTTGAGAGAAACTGACGGTCATGATCGAGGCTCTATATTCGATGGGAGGAGCACTTGAAATTAAGGGTGGCAAAATGGAAAGCCCGCCCCGCACCGCCTTAAGCTCGCCAAAAAAAGAGCAGGTCGGGCAAGCCCGCCAAGTGAAAATGGGCATAAAAATCTAGGCCGCTTCGCCAAGGTGGCGGGTTGGCGGACGAAAGACTTGCCGTCATATTTTTTTCTTATTTTTAATAGATTAATAGGCTTTTTTTACCTTTCAATTATATTTTTCATTTATTTTTTAGAATAATTTTTATAAAGCATATTTTAAACAAATTTTACTTTAAAAAATTGCATATATTCACAAATAAATGTATAAAATAAAACCATCAAGAATTAGAATTACTAGAATTAACTAAAAAAGGGAGGACTAAAGGTAGGACAAGCTGAACGAATAAGCGAGGCAGACTTTGGCGGGGCGGGCTTTGGTGGACAGCGAGCCTAAAACCCCAACCCAACCTGCCATTTTTAGCGGATGCACGATCCAATCCGATGAGCCACATACTGTTTTGTCACCCCTACTAGAAACATGCATCATTTTTTGGGCATATGTTTTTTGGACGTGGAGGATTCACCGCCCTATGTGAATCCGCCAACTATTGTATTTAGTGTATGACATGTTGTACTCTGTCCCTATTCTTTCTGCGCGCTCTGACCTCTCTTTGTCAGAGAGGTTCTTCCATGGGTTTTTTGTTATGGAAATCTCATTCTATTTGTGCCTCGACCACCATAATATACATATTTTTGAAGATGGCTTCTTTATATCAATTTCTTGATCTCATGCTTCAAATGGTGACAATCATAAGCATGGTGATCTTGTAACATGTGGTATTTACACCATTTGCTGGTATCCATCCCATTATGTTCCTCTTGGGAATGTTCGACCCATGAAAGATCTTTGTATGACATACCTCTTTTAAAATTCATTCTTATTTTCTGTTCAATATGGTGAAATATTCATATGACCTCTTATTGGTTTTGAATGATGCTTTATCACGGAGGGGGTGCTTGACCCCTATGTTTTATTTGTTCGTCGGTTTCTATTTTTAATACTTATTTCTCTTTCGCATCCCTTAACCTCTTTTCCACATTACTTTCTTTCCCATTAACGTAACATTGTGCATGTGCCATTATCTCCCCAGTTGTTGTCGTTGGCTTCCGGGATAATGACTTGTTAAAGTGTCGTACTTTGAGACTGTTCTCGAAAGCCCTCACAAACATCTACAGATTATGATGAGCGACCTTGCTGATTTCTTCATTAAAGCGATCTAGGTACTCTCCCAACGACTCGACCTATCCTTGGAGGATATTGAAAAGGCTTGTGGTCGACACCTTTCAGTGTTTGTTGGAGGAGAGCTAATGTATCATTTTCCTAGCCAAATCTTGGTAGTTGTTTACGAATAACCTGAGAGGGCTCATGTATTAGTGCAATGCGACATCTTTCAATGTGCATGCCATCAATTTATATTTCAACGATTGATGTTGGTTTCACTGCAAGACATGCACACTACCTTGCAACAATTCGTTTTGGTGGCACAAGTCTTCCATAACATCGAGTAATTCCTCTATTGTAGCATGTGATAACTAATTGTTACTACTAGTTGCTCTACACATAGTGAGAAGATGGAATTGAAGGTTTCAAGAGTTTTGTGTGGCTTAAACAAATTTTACCAGGGTTCCACATTGGACACCAAATATTTACGGAAAAAACATTAGTTGAATATCCTCTCTAATGCTGGTCAGAAAGATACACAATATGAGATTTTTCTATTAAAATGAGTCATTCCATTTAGTTTGATATTGATTCTCTCAGCCTTATGCGAGACAAGGACTAGAAATACAATTAATCCTTATGAAGAGCCATAATAGCCAATTGTTCGGTTATTATTGCATTACGAAGATATGTTTGGACACAATGATGTCATGTGATACATGCCCATAAATATTTGTCTTAGATATCTCACTTTTAGTAAATCTATGTCGTACCTGTACTAGGAAATGAGCCTTTTGGCGACCTTTGCCACGTCCAAACCCAGAAACGGGTTGTATCCAACTTATTTATGATCTACCTCATCTTACTTTTTAAGATATACACAATCTCCCAAACATAAGGATTCGATCATTATAATTTTTCGAAATATACACTATCCAAATTTTTAACTCTAAAATGCAAATTTGTCCCTTCCAAAATAGTAAATTATTGCCTCCAATATTACTCTTTTGGGCCAATGTTCACAATTTTCAGACCAAATTAGCCTATTTATTAGCCAAACATATGGATTAGGACTTAGATGCAAATTGCAACAAGAAGTTTAACTTTAAAAAGTAAATAGTGTAAACAAAATAAATGAATTGAAAAAAAAGAAGAAAAAAACTCTAGTTGGGAAAACCCCGCTCTAGAAGCAACAAAGTTAAGTAACTATTCCACACTACTCATCACATCACAATATATATTCTCATCATCTATTCACAAGTACCCTATTTCGTGTTCAAAGTAAACAATTTTCTCACTCCTCTCTCTGTCTCTCTCTCTTCCCTATTCCCCTTGGGGTTTCCGTTTCGCTTCGCTCTGCTATTTCCCTCTCTCTCTTTCTCCTCCATTTTCATCCTCACTTCGGATGTGTATCAACCTAGCCACTTTCTCTCTCATCTCTCAGGTTTTTCTCTTCGCCTAAATATAACTATCTATCTTTATTCTTTCTTCTTCTTCTTGTTACGAAATTGAAATTGAAATTGAAATTGAAATTGATCTACTCAATTGCTGATTTCGTTTTCTTCTTTATCATCTCTTCGTGTTTTTCGATTGCGTTTAGTTTAATCACCGCGCATAATTTTGTATTTGTTCTTAATCGATTATTAGTGTAATTGTAATTATTATTAAAAAAATGAAACTGTTATTTATTTTTATTTTTATAATTTTTTGAATTTTTTTGGTTTTTTTTTTCAGGCAGTGGTTTGAGAGTAGAGAAGTTTTGGTGAAATGACAACGCTAAGATCGAATTGGCCTTCAAGGTTGCGGCAACTTCTGTCCAGTGAAGGTGCCATTGGTCCTTCAATCAAGCTGGATTCTGAGCCTGTAAGTAGTAGTTTTTTTTTTGTTGTTGTTGTGAAATTCGTGACTAGGGTTCAATGGGATTAATATTTGACTTTAATTTTTTTTTTGAATTCTTTTATTGCATGAGGAAAGTTTAGGCAATATGCAGCATCATTGGTAATTTTGAATATTGTGTGCATTTAACCATTTATTAATCGATATAGATAGGAACAAGGTTTTAAATAACTGTCGGGGTTGCATTGCAATTGCGTAAAGAGTTTCGCGATTTTAGTTGTTACAGGTGTTGTAACATTGATTGCAACATCGATTGCGGTCTGCATTATCAACAATTTGTTCTTTATCATAAAAACGATGAATAACCGTATCGATATCGACGCTTTTCAATACTGTTGTCACGGCCGTTTTCGCAGCAACGGACCTTGGAGATGAAAACAAATTGTGCTTTTGGTTGATATTTGTATATCTGAAGCCTGAGTAGTGTTGATGGGTTTAAGATAGAAAACTATTTTTTGGGCAAGTTATTTGTGTTTACCTTTACAAAAAATGTTGACTTTCTTGTATGTTTTTGCTGACAAGGCGTAGTTTTGTAGCTTGATAGAAAGAAACAATTATATATGTGAAAGTATGAAAATGAACTGGTGCTGAATCTTACGGGAAAATGTTATACGAGGCTAAGCACATTATTCACATTCTTGTATTTTGATATATAATGTGGTTGATAGCCTGATTTTTGTCATTTGTTTTATGCAAAGTTTTTCCTACAAATTTGCAGTTCTCTTTGAGAGAAACTGTAATAAGAGAATTTTAATACTACCATGTTGCCAATTGTTAAATGTGTATCTGTGCTACATTTTTTTAGGAATGTTGTTCACAACATACATAAACTAACGTTCACTAGCAGCTAGCTGACTTAGCATAACTGAAGCTTACAGCAGAAGTTTATTGCAGAAGTTGTATAAACTGGAGCAGTGTAGTTATTCCGAAATATCTTACCCAATTATTTTTTAATCTGTGACAGCTTATTTAAATAGAAAATTGAGTTACTGGGTTTTGCTCGAGATGGGATATGTAGCCAGGGAAACTAATATTGCATGTAATCAAATCAATAATCTTTGGTGCAGAATTGACAGATTGTTGGATTACTGGTTTTGTATTTTGTATTTGTGTTTTAATGGTGGATTATTGGGTTTGAGTTAAAAATGAGTTATTTAAGTTTGGTCTTAGATTGATTGAATAGAGACGTTTCTATAAACCATTTACTGATAACTATGAAATTTAGCAAGATTGAACAATATAAGCAACTCACTTCATTTTTCTTCTGATTTTTGTTTTAAGATTTATATATTTAATATTTTGAAAGTGTTGCTTTTTGCCATTATAACATATATATATGTCTATGATATATTTATTTACTAAGATTTAGTTACTCTGGTTTCTTAATTATTTAAAAAAAGCTACTGTCTTACTGGACAAATAATACGGTTAAGATAACATTACCTACATATTTGGTTAGGATACATTCTATCAGTGGCATATTCTAATAGCTAATTTCATTAGTTAATAGTTATTTGCTAGTGCTGGTTTGATCAGCATTTGAATGCCCTTCTGTTAGTTAATAGTTAATAATTATTTGCTAGTTAATAGTTATTTTACTCCTTCTATTAGAATTATTGTTTGATGTTGATGATTTTTCTTTTTCTATAAGTTTGATTAATTAATATGATTATTCCTCAGCCAAAATTGATTTTCACGGGCAATTCATGAAATCAATTAAGTATTTTCTTCAACCGCATTTCATATTTTTGTACTTTTAGATTTATTTGTATGTACTTTCATCTTTGTGGATACATATCATATCTATACATGTATTCCCATATGTTTACCCTCTTCTCATCCATATATTGTCATCTAAATTTGACGATTATTTGGTTCCAGCCTCCTAAAGTCAAAGCCTTTATTGAAAAGGTCATCCAGTGTCCGTTACAAGATATTGCTATACCACTATCTGGCTTTCGGTGGGAGTATGACAAGGTAATATTACTGTAATAGTTTTTCTGTATCAAGTCATTTATTTTCTATTTTCAAGGTGCCTTACACTTTGTTTTTCACATCAGGGGAATTTTCATCACTGGAGACCATTGCTACTTCATTTTAATACCTACTTCAAGACTTATTTGTTGTGTAGAAACGATCTTACTTTGTTAGATAATCTAGAAGATGACAGTCCATTACCTAAACACGCTGTTCTGCAAATATTACGGGTGATGCAAACAATTTTGGAGAACTGTCCAAACAGGAGCACCTTTGATGGCATAGAGGTTAGTTGGACAGGAATTGTTTCTTTATAAGTCTGGTCTTAATTATAACTATACTTTTAATACTTTCTTTGTTTCCTCAGCATTTCAAACTTTTGCTAGCATCTACCGATCCTGAGATTCTTATTGCGGCATTAGAAACTCTTTCTGCACTTGTAAAAATTAATCCCTCTAAGCTTCATGGAAATGCAAAGATGGTTGGCTGTGGTTCAGTGAACAGCTCTCTCTTATCCCTAGCACAGGGATGGGGAAGCAAGGAGGAGGGCCTAGGATTGTACTCTTGTGTAATGGCTAATGAGAAAGCTCAAAATGAGGCACTAAGCTTGTTTCCTTCTGATGTAGAAATTGGCTGTGATCAATCTAATTATCGCATAGGTACTACTCTTTATTTTGAATTGCATGGACCTAGTGCTCAAAGTGAAGAACTCAGTGCAGATACAATTCCCCGTGGCTTGAGAGTCATACATATGCCAGATTTGCATCTCCGCAAAGAAGATGATTTGTCATTGTTAAAGCAATGCATTGAACAATATAACGTTCCTTCCGAGCTCAGATTTTCGTTGCTCTCTAGAATTAGATATGCTCACGCCTTTCGGTCTCCTAGAATATGCAGACTTTACAGCAGGATATGCCTACTTTCTTTCATTGTGCTTGTCCAATCTGGCGATGCTCATGAAGAACTCGTGTCCTTTTTTGCTAATGAACCGGAATATACAAATGAATTAATTAGAGTTGTGCGATCTGAAGAAACTATATCTGGATCTATCAGAACACTTGCAATGCTTGCATTAGGAGCCCAGTTGGCAGCGTATACTTCATCGCATGAACGGGCACGGATACTTAGTGGATCTAGTTCAAGTTTTGCTGGTGGGAACCGTATGATACTCCTGAATGTGCTCCAGAGGGCTATTTTGTCATTAAAAAATTCTAGTGATCCATCTACTCTTGCCTTTGTTGAGGCACTTCTTCAGTTCTATCTGCTTCATGTTGTTTCAACGTCAACTTCTGGGAGTAGTATCAGAGGTTCTGGCATGGTACCTACATTCTTGCCGCTTCTTGAAGATGCTGATCCTGCACATGTTCATTTAGTCTGTTTTGCTGTAAAAACCCTTCAGAAGCTGATGGATTATAGTAGCTCAGCTGTATCTTTGTTTAAAGAGTTGGGAGGCATTGAACTTTTGGCTCAGAGATTATGGAAAGAAGTACAAAGGGTCATTGAATTAGTTGGAGAAAATGATAACATGTCTCTCACTGTCGAAAGCTCAAGGTATAGTACTGATCAGCTGTACTCCCAGAAGAGGCTCATAAAGGTCTCCCTCAAGGCACTTGGTTCTGCAACATATGCGCCTGCAAATGCCGCAAGATCTCAATATTCTAATGACAATTCACTGCCTGCTACTCTAAGCTTAATATTTCAAAATGTAGATAAGTTTGGAGGCGATGTTTATTACTCAGCTGTTACTGTTATGAGTGAAATAATCCATAAAGATCCTACATGTTTTTCTATTCTGCACGATATGGGTCTTCCTGATGCTTTTTTGTCGTCAGTTGGATCTGATCTACTTCCTTCATCAAAGGCTTTGACATGCATTCCAAATGGTCTTGGGGCCATTTGTCTCAATGCCAAAGGGTTAGAGGCTGTTAGAGAATCTTCATCACTGCGGTTCCTTGTTGATATTTTCACTAGCAAAAAGTATGTCTTAGCCATGAATGAGGCTATTGTTCCGTTGGCAAATGCTGTGGAGGAACTTCTACGCCACGTGTCTTCATTGAGAAGTACCGGTGTTGATATTATCATTGAAATCATCCATAAGATTGCATCTTTTGGTGATGAAAATGGTACAGGAACTTCTGGAAAAGCTAATGAGGGTACTGCAATGGAAACAGATTCTGAAGTCAAAGAGAATGAAGGTCATGGTTGCCTTGTAGGCAAATCATGTTCAGCTGCTGAAGGCATAAGTGATGAACAGTTTATTCAGCTATGTGTCTTTCATTTGATGGTATTGATTCATAGGACTATGGAAAATTCTGAAACATGCCGACTATTTGTGGAAAAATCAGGAATTGAAGCTTTGTTGAAGTTGTTATTACGATCCACTATTGCTCAATCGTCAGATGGCATGTCCATTGCTTTACACAGCACCATGGTGTTTAAGGGGTTTGCTCAACATCACTCCACTCCTCTTGCAAAAGCCTTCTGTTCCTCTCTCAGAGAACACTTGAAGAAAACATTAACTGGGTTTAGTGAAGCTTCAGAACCTTTGTTGCTGGATCCTAGGATGACAAATGATGGTGGCATGTTTTCCTCACTCTTCCTTGTTGAGTTCCTACTCTTTCTTGCTGCAGCGAAAGACAACCGTTGGGTGAGTGCGTTGCTTACCGAATTTGGAAATGGCAGTAAGGATGTTCTTGAAGATATTGGACGTGTCCACCGGGAAGTTCTATGGCAAATTGCTCTACTTGAAAATAAGAAGCAAGGGATTGAGGAAGATGGTTCTTGTTCTTCTGATTCACAACATGCTGAACGGGATGCAGGTGAATCCGAGGAGCAAAGGATCAATTCTTTCAGGCAGTTACTTGATCCTTTATTGAGGAGGAGGACATCGGGATGGAGCATTGAATCTCAGTTTTTTGACCTTATAAACCTATATCGAGATTTGGGCCGTTCCACTGGTTCTCAACATCGATCTATTTCTGCTGGGCCAAATATGCGGTCAAGTTCCAGTAATCAGTTGCATCATTCTGGATCGGATGATAATGCTGAGTTTGCTAATAAGGAATCTGACAAGCATATGTCGTATTATACCTCTTGTTGTGACATGGTCAGATCACTTTCATTTCACATTACCCATTTGTTCCAAGAGTTAGGAAAAGTAATGTTGCTACCATCACGTCGACGTGATGATATTGTGAATGTAAGTCCTGCCTCAAAATCAGTGGCTTCTACTTTGGCATCAATTGCTCTAGATCACATGAATTATGGGGGCCATGTAAATCTTTCGGGAACAGAAGAATCAATATCAACAAAGTGTCGGTATTTTGGGAAAGTGATTGATTTCGTAGATAGTATGCTAATGGAGAGGCCAGATTCATGCAATCCTGTTCTCTTGAATTGCTTGTATGGAAGTGGAGTTATTCAATCTGTGTTGACCACCTTTGAAGCTACTAGTCAGCTGCTCTTTGCAGTTAATCGCGTCCCTGCCTCGCCTATGGATACTGATGATGCAAATGCAAAGCAAGACGACAAGGAGGATACTAATAACTCATGGATTTATGGCTCTTTAGCTAGTTATGGGAAATTGATGGACCATCTAGTAACATCATCTTTTATATTATCATCATTCACTAAGCATTTGCTTGCACAACCCCTTTCAAATAGTGACACACCTTTCCCAAGGGACCCTGAGACTTTTATGAAAGTCCTCCAATCCACAGTGTTGAAGACCGTGCTTCCTGTTTGGACTCATCCCCAGTTTGGTGACTGCAGTTACGAATTTATTTCTGCAGTTATCTCTATCATTAGGCATGTTTATTCAGGGGTTGAAGTAAAAAATGTAAATGGCAGTGGTGGTTCTCGTATTACTGGACCGCCTCCTAATGAAACAACTATTTCTACCATTGTAGAGATGGGTTTTTCGCGGTCTAGAGCAGAGGAAGCTTTGAGACACGTTGGGTCAAATAGTGTAGAGTTGGCAATGGAGTGGTTGTTCTCACATCCAGAGGAAGTACCAGAAGATGATGAACTTGCCCGGGCACTTGCAATGTCCCTTGGAAGCTCTGAATCAGACACCAAAGATGCAGTTCCAAATTCAAATGCAAATACATCTGCTCAGCAGCTTGAAGAAGAGATAGTCCAATTTCCTTCTGTTGATGAATTGTTATCTACCTGCACAAAACTTCTGATGAAAGAACCTCTTGCTTTTCCTGTCCGCGACTTGCTTGTGATGATATGCTCCCAGGATGATGGTAAACACAGAACTAGTGTTGTCACATTTATTGTCGACCGGGTCAAAGAATGTGGTATAGTTTCTAGCATTGAAAATTACATCATGCTGGCTACTCTTTTTCATGTTCTTGCTTTAATTCTTAATGAAGATCCCGTGGCACGAGAAGCTGCTTCCAAAAGTGGATTGATCAGAATTGCCTCCGATCTACTCAACCAGTGGGATTCTAGTCTTGATAGCAAGGAGAAACAGCAGGTGCCAAAATGGGTCACAGCTGCTTTTCTTGCCTTAGACAGGTTGTTGCAGGTGGATCAAATCTTAAATTCTGAAATCACAGAGCAGCTGAAGAAGGAAGTTGTGAATAGCCAGAAAGCATCAATTACTATTGATGAAGATAGGCAAAGCAAGTTACAGTCTGCATTGGGACTCTCTATGAAGTATGCAGATATACATGAGCAGAAGAGACTTGTTGAGATTGCGTGTAGTTGTATGAAGAATCAACTTCCCTCCGACACAATGCACGCTGTTCTGCTGCTATGTTCCAATCTTACAAGGAATCATTCTGTTGCCCTTGCTTTTTTGGATGCTGGTGGTTTAAGTCTACTTCTTTCTCTGCCAACAAGTAGCCTCTTCTCTGGGTTTGACAATGTTGCTGCTAGTATTGTCCGTCATATTCTTGAAGATCCACAAACACTTCGGCAAGCAATGGAATCCGAGATAAAACAAAATCTTTTAGCTGTGTCCAACCGACATCCAAATGGAAGGGTCAATCCTCGCAATTTTCTTTTAAATTTGGCTTCTGTGATTGCTCGGGATCCAGCAGTTTTTATGCAAGCTGCACAATCTGTGTGCCAAGTTGAAATGGTAGGTGAGAGACCTTACATTGTCTTGCTTAAAGACAAAGTGAAAGAGAAAGAAAAGGAGAAGTGTAAACCATTGGAGAAAGAAAAAGTACAGAATAGTGATGGTAAGGTTGGTGTTGGGCATACGAACACAGAAGCTTCTGGAAATGGCCATGGCAAAACTCACGATTCAAATACCAAGAGTGTCAAAGGTCATAGAAAACCTAGTCAAAGTTTTATTGATGTAATAGAACTGCTGCTTGAATCTATATGCACTTTTATTCCTCCCTTGAAGGACGACAATGCCTCAAACGTACTTCCTGGTCCCACAACATCAAGTGACATGGACATTGATGTCTCTATAAATAAGGGAAAAGGAAAAGCAGTTGCAACCTCGTCTGACGGTAACGAAACCAGTAGTCAAGAGGCTTCTGCATCACTTGCAAAGACTGTCTTTATTTTGAAGCTTTTGACGGAGATATTATTGATGTATTCATCATCAGTTCACGTTCTACTTCGACGAGATGCTGAGTTGAGCAGCAGTAGGGTCACTTATCAGAAGAGTCCTGTTGGTTTGAGCATGGGTGGAATATTCTACCACATTCTTCATAATTTTCTTCCACATTCTCGAAACTCCAAAAGGGACAAGAAAGTTGACGGTGATTGGAGGCATAAACTAGCAACCAGGGCTAACCAGTTTATGGTGGCTGCTTGTGTCCGTTCCACAGAGGCAAGGAAAAGGATTTTTAGCGAAATTAGTTCTATCATCAATGAATTTGTTGATTCAAGTCATGGCGTTAAGCCTCCGGGCAATGATATTCTGGTTTTTGTTGATCTGATTAATGATGTTTTGGCTGCTCGCACACCTGCTGGTGCATGCATCTCAGCTGAGGCCTCTGCCACATTTATTGATGCTGGTTTGGTTAAATCATTTACTCGTACTCTCCAAATTTTGGACTTGGATCATGCTGATTCATCTAAAGTTGCAACTGGTATTATTAAAGCTCTTGAGTTGGTTAGCAAGGAGCATGTCCATTCAGCTGATTCCAATGCAGGGAAAGCAAAACCTTCTGATCTACAACAATCCGGAAGAATAGATAATATTAGTGATATGTCTCAATCCATGGATATGTCTTCTCAAGCCAATCACGGTTCTCGTCAAGCTGACCAAGTGGGGCCTTACACAGGTCAGACCTATGGTGGGTCTGAAGCTGTTACAGATGATATGGAACATGATCAAGATCTTAATGGGAACTTTCCTCCTGCCAATGAGGATGATTACATGCATGAAAATTCTGAGGATGCAAGAGATGTTGAAAATGGAATGGAAAGTGTGGGTTTACATTTGGAAATCCAACCTCACGGCCAAGAAAATCTTGATGAAGATGATGATGAGGATGATGATATGTCTGGAGATGAAGGTGAAGATGTAGATGAAGATGAGGAGGAGGATGAGGAACATAATGATTTGGAGCATGAAGTCCATCACTTGCCACATCCTGACACAGATCAAGATGACCATGAGATTGATGATGATGATTTTGATGATGAAGTGATGGAAGAAGATGACGAGGAAGATGAGGAGGATGAGGATGGTGTTATACTCCGGCTTGAGGAGGGCATTAATGGAATTAATGTTCTTGACCATATTGAGGTTCTTGGCAGAGATAATACTTTTCCAAATGAAGCTTTTCGTGTAATGCCGGTCGAAGTTTTCGGATCCAGACGTCCAGGGCGGACAACATCTATTTATAGTCTTTTGGGAAGAACTGGTGCTACTGCTATGCCTTCCCGTCATCCACTCTTGGTTGATCCTTCTTCCTCATTCCCCCCCTCTATAGGACAATCAGGCTAGTTCCTTCATGAATTTATTGCAAATGATATTCCAATACTGCGTTTTTTTCTTAATCTACTCATTGTTATTTGTTGCATATGTAGTTTTAATGACTCTTGTTTTTGGCATCTTAATTAAAATTTCCAGATAGTTTTCTCGAGAACAATCCATCAGGTTTGGATAATATATTTCGTTCACTGAGAAGTGGACGCCATGGAAATCGTTTGAACTTGTGGACTGATAATAACCAGCAGAGTGGTGGATCAAACACTAGTGTTGTACCACAAGGTCTTGAGGAGTTGCTTGTCTCTCAATTAAGGCAACATGCCCCTGAAAATTCGCCTAATCAAGATGTAGCAGAAGCAGGTTCTCATGGTAATGTTGAAATCAGCCAGGCACAAGATTCAGGTGGTGCAAGGCCAGAAATACCTGTGGAAAATAATTCTATTCAAGGAGTTAGTACAACGACTACTTCAATAATTGATAACAGCAATGAGGCTGATATTAGACCTGCGGGGACGAGGGAGCCAACAAATGTATCAAATGCTCACTCACTGGCTGTTGAGATACAATTCGAGCATAATGATGGTGCTGGGAGGGATGTTGAAGCTGTGAGCCAAGAGAGTAGCGGTAGTGGAGCAACTTTTGGGGAAAGCCTTCGGAGCCTAGACGTTGAGATTGGAAGTGCTGATGGCCATGATGATGGCGGCGAAAGGCCGATTTCTGCAGACAGAATAGCTGGTGATTCACAGGCTGCACGCACAAGAAGAGCAAATATGCCTCTGGGTCACTTTCCCCCTGTTGTTGGAAGAGATACACCTCTTCACAGCGTTGCCGAAGTATCTGAGAATTCAAGTCGTGATGCAGATCAAGCAAGTCCAGCAGCAGAGCAGCAAGTGAATAGTGATGCTGGATCTGGAGCAATTGATCCGGCTTTTCTAGATGCTCTTCCTGAGGAACTGCGTGCTGAAGTCCTCTCAGCTCAGCAAGGTCAAGTGGCTCAGCCACCAAATGTCGAGTCTCAGAATTCTGGGGATATTGATCCAGAGTTCCTTGCTGCCCTCCCTCCAGATATTCGAGCAGAAGTTCTAGCTCAACAGCAAGCTCAGAGGTCAAATCAGTCTCAGGAGTTGGAAGGTCAACCTGTTGAAATGGATACAGTCTCAATAATTGCAACATTTCCTTCAGATTTACGAGAAGAGGCGAGTTCATCAACTGACTGCTATTTTTCTAAAAGTGGGATTTTATCTGATTTTTTGTCTTTTTTATTTTTTATTTTCTTCAGGTTCTGTTAACTTCATCTGATAATATCCTTGCCAATCTTACACCTGCTCTTGTTGCTGAGGCAAATATGTTGCGGGAGAGGTATGCACACCGTTACAGTCGTACCCTCTTTGGTATGTATCCAAGAAGTCGTAGAGGTGAGACTTCAAGACGTGGTGATGGCACTGGTTCTGGCTTAGGTGCAGTAGGGGAACCAATTTCTTCACGCCGGTCCAGTGGAGCTAAGGTTGTTGAAGCTGATGGAGCTCCACTAGTTGACACGGAAGCCTTGCATGGCATGGTTCGGTTATTTCGCATGGTGCAGGTATTGATTTATTAATGATACGAAAAAGCCCTTCTAAATGATTCCTATATCATCTATAATGCATCTTACATTTTTGCAGCCACTCTATAAAGGCCAACTGCAGAGGCTTCTTTTAAATCTTTGTGCTCATAGTGAAACAAGAATATCTTTGGTGAAAATTCTGATGGACTTGCTAATGCTTGATGTGATAAAGCCTGTCAGTTCTTTTGGTGCCGTTGAACCACTGTATAGATTATATGGCTGTCAGAGCAATGTAATGTATTCACGTCCTCAGTCTTTTGATGGTAAGAATACTTAATTATATAAACGCAATTTCTTATTTGGTGCTTGCAGTTTTGAATATTCCCAAATAATCAATCTCCAAAGCAGCTTTCCATATTCTGGTGTTTTTTTTGGTCTAATTGGCTGGTCTTATTGTCTGGAGCACTTTGTTTCCTAATTAAATGATAATTTAGTTAATGGATTTCTTTCATCTTGTTTGGTTACATAGGGGTACCCCCACTGCTGTCTCGACGTGTATTGGAAACCCTCACTTATCTTGCTCGTAATCATCTATATGTGGCAAATAATTTGCTTCAGTCTAGGCTTCCTTATCCTGAGATTAAAGAACAAAGTAATGCTAGTGATGCACGTGGCAAAGCTGTGATGGTTGTTGAAGATGAAGTCAATATAGGTGAAAGTAATGAAGGTTACGTCTCTATTGCAGTGCTTTTGGGTCTTTTGAACCAACCACTTTATTTGAGGAGCATAGCCCATCTTGAGCAGGTGATGATTTGGTTGGTTTTACTGGCCTTTATGCTGTTCAATTTTATGTGCTTACACAATGCTGACATGATATACCTTGTACATGTGCTTGTTGTTTCAGCTGCTAAATTTACTGGATGTAATAATTAATAGTGCTGGAAGCAAGTCCACTCCATCTGATAAACCATCGATTTCGACTTCACAGTCACCGCCGGGTCCTCAAATTTCTGCTGTCGAGGCCGAAACAAATACAGGTTCTGATACTTTGACTTCTATGGCTGATGCACCTACTACAGTTAATGATTCATCCAAACCCACACCGGTTGATAATAATATGGAATCTGAGTCTCAGAGAGTATTGAGTAATTTGCCACAATCTGAACTCCGGCTCCTGTGCTCGCTGCTTGCACATGAAGGGTATGATTTCTTACATGCCTTTGTTTGTTAATTTGTGCTGATTTATTTGTCTCTGTTTTTGCCAATATGTCCAGTTTTCGTTTATTTATTTACCTTGACCAGGAGTTCCTGGTTCTGGGCAAGGGTAGGGATGCTAAAAAATAATCATTTAGGAGCTCCTAAATGATTTACAATCTGTTATACTGGTTTTGTTATCGATCTACATTTACATGCTTTTGTTTCTAACTCCACAATCACCTGACCAGATTGTTCTGGCTATTTATTGTTTTAGTGAGCAGTGACATACTTCCTCTGGTCATAGTCATAAGCAACAATAACTATTTTCATTAATAAGAAAGTTACTTGAGTGTAATTAATTTTCTTGATTTCATGTACAATCAAAGTAAAATTTACTGTAATATCCTTAGTTATACCAAACATTAAATGCTTTTGAATTAAATTAAGGGTATACTAGTAATACAAACATTAATTAGTTTAAAAATGATTGACTTTTGCTTATAACAATGACCAAAATTTATTGTCACTTTTTTGCTTATAATAGTGACTGGAGGTAGTATTGAAATGCTTTTGAATTAAATTAAGGGTATACTAGTAATACAAGCATTAATTAGTTTAAAAGTTATTGACTTTTGCTTATAACAGTGACCAAAATTTATTGTCACTTTTTTGCTTATAATAGTGACCGGAGGTAGTATTGACTATGTTAATGTTTTTGTGATGCTGGAGTTGACCTGATTTTTTGTGCATTCCTCCCAGTTTGTCAGAAAATGCATATACTCTTGTTGCGGAGGTAGTGCAGAAATTGGTGGCCATTGCTCCAACTCATTGTCAGCTTTTTGTCACTGAGCTGGCTGAAGCAGTTCAAAATTTAACATCTTCTGCAATGGCCGAGTTACATGTATTCGGTGAAGCTATGAAAGCTCTTCTTAGTACCACATCTACAGATGGAGCTGCAATTTTGAGAGTTTTGCAAGCCCTGAGTTCCCTTGTCACATCACTAACTGCTGAGGATCACGGTGATAGAGTTACTCCTGCTGCTCTTTCAGAGGTTTGGCAAATCAATTCAGCATTAGAACCATTGTGGCACGAGCTGAGCTGTTGCATAAGCAAAATAGAGTCCTACTCTGAATCTACATCTGAGCTCTTCACCCCATCTACATCATCTGCTTCTCAACCCACTGGTGCCACGCCTCCACTTCCAGCTGGCTCTCAAAATATCTTGCCATACATAGAATCTTTCTTTGTGGTTTGTGAGAAATTGCACCCCACACAGCTAGGTGTTAATCATGACTCAAGTATTCCTGTTATTTCTGATGTTGAGAATGCAAGTACATCTGCATCTCAGCAGAAAGTATCCGGACTTGGTATAAAAGTAGATGAGAAGAATATGGCTTTTGTTAGGTTCTCAGAGAAGCATAGAAAGCTTCTAAATGCTTTTATAAGGCAAAATCCTGGTTTGCTTGAGAAATCTTTCTCCCTCATGCTGAAGGTTCCAAGATTTATTGATTTTGATAACAAACGGGCCCACTTCCGATCAAAAATTAAGCATCAGCATGACCATCACCATAGCCCCTTAAGAATATCCGTAAGAAGGGCATATGTTCTAGAAGATTCTTATAACCAGCTTCGCATGAGACCAACTCAAGATTTGAAGGGAAGGCTGACTGTTCACTTTCAAGGAGAGGAAGGTATTGATGCCGGAGGACTTACAAGGGAGTGGTATCAATTGTTATCTAGAGTTATTTTTGACAAGGGAGCACTGCTTTTTACTACAGTCGGCAATGAGTCAACATTCCAACCAAATCCTAACTCTGTTTATCAAACAGAACATTTATCTTATTTCAAGTTTGTTGGTAGAGTGGTGAGTCTGTTTTCAACTGCTCTTAATGCTTCCTGTTGGTTATATGATTTTTTTCTTACCCCTTTCTACATTATCCAGGTTAGTAAAGCACTATTTGACGGTCAACTTTTGGATGTCCATTTTACTCGCTCGTTCTACAAGCACATACTTGGGGTCAAAGTTACATACCATGATATTGAAGCCATTGATCCTGACTATTTCAAAAATTTGAAATGGATGCTTGAGGCAAGTGCATTTCTATAGTCCCCCCTCATTTTAGTGTTGTATCCACATTTTGCTAACTGTTAATACTTAATGTGATGGTAATATCTTGTTTCTGGTATGATTGCAGAATGATATCAGCGATATTTTGGATCTTACTTTTAGCATTGACGCAGATGAGGAAAAACTAATCTTATATGAACGGACAGAAGTATTGACTGCCTTAAAACTTATTTTGATATAGTTTATTTGGACAGTGAATTTTTAGCCTAATCTTGAAAAAACATTGTTAGGTGACTGATTATGAGTTGATTCCTGGTGGACGGAATATCAAAGTTACTGAAGAGAACAAGCATCAGTATGTTGATTTGGTTGCTGAGCATCGGTTGACAACTGCTATTCGACCTCAAATAAATGCTTTCTTGGAAGGGTTCAGTGAATTAATTCCAAGAGAGTTGATATCCATATTCAATGACAAAGAGCTGGAGTTATTGATCAGTGGGCTTCCTGATATTGATTGTAAGACATTCCTAATTGTCCATTCCTTTTTTGATGTCATTTATGTTTATTTGCTCTCCTTCTTGCTGTGTTTATGAGTATTTAAATCCCATGAAGCAGAAGGTTTAACAATTGTGTATTTTATTATTTCAGTGGATGACTTGAGAGCAAATACAGAATATTCTGGATATAGTGCTGCATCGCCAGCTATTCAATGGTTTTGGGAGGTTGTCCAAGATTTAAGCAAAGAAGACAAGGCCCGGCTTTTGCAATTTGTGACTGGCACATCCAAGGTATACTGCTAAAAGAACTCTGGGTTCTAATCTTTTACCAACTAAGAAACTGTGTTTAAAAAAAAACACAGGTTGGATTCCCTTATGCGCTAGCTACTTTCAACTAGCCCATTTTATGAGCTATTAATTTATTTGCGAGGCATTTTAGTCGAGAAAATTGTCCAAACTAAACAGCACCTAATATTATGTATTCTACTTGATTTAAAATGGATGTCATTGACAATATATTAGAGCAGTGAAAACATTTATAGTGCAATTTGGGGTTCTGATTTTCAACATTGATGTTTCAGGTGCCTTTAGAAGGTTTTAGTGCTCTACAAGGAATTTCAGGTTCCCAGAAGTTTCAGATACATAAAGCATACGGAAGTCCTGATCACTTGCCTTCTGCTCATACTTGGTATATCTTTTTATCCTTTTCAATTCCTTCACTAGTGATATATACATATTTGTTTTCTGTTTGGATGATTTGCAGCTGACATACTATGTTATCACTTGATCATTCATCATGATTGCCACCACCATTATTATTGACTATTATCTATGACGCGCGGACACCGGAAACACGACACTGACACTAACACTAACACGTAGACACCTGTAAGAAAAAATAAGTAAATTAAACGTAATCACAAGTGTCGGTCACCTACACATACACTCACAGCTTTTCAAAGATGTCGATGCTACATGGTTTATTATTATTTGATTTAAAACTAATTATTTGATTTAAAACTAATTAAACACGGAATTTTCTTGGCGCAGTTTCAATCAATTGGATTTGCCGGAGTATCCATCTAAACAACATTTGGAAGAGAGGTTACTGCTAGCTATTCATGAAGCAAGTGAGGGATTTGGATTTGGTTAAAATGTTGTATTACGTTTTAGATTAGGAGTTATTTCAGAATATAATTGAGTGGTACAGGGGTTTGAATATTTTTTTTAAATGTCCTGTTTATATGTTGTACAGTAGTATATTTTGCAATAGAAAATGCCCTGAGGCAGTTTTTCAATTAGCCGCGTTGTGCCGTTATAATTTATCATTAATTTCTGTAACTTTATAGTGGTTTTATTACAAAATCATGCTGGCAGCTTCATGAAAAAGGTTGCACAAGTAGCTTAAGGAAAACCTTTTGTAATATTAGAGGTCAAGAACAAGGGCGAGCTTATAAATCTTGGGGAATATTTTTTTACTAATGATAACATGCTTTTAGGGCATTGTTTAAACCATCTAAAAAAAACTCTTAAAATAAGTCTAATATCATAGTTATAAGTATTTTTGAATTGCTTATTTTTTTAAACCATCTTTCTCTAATTGCCTATTTTTCATATGTAATTTTATGTACATTAATTTTTATAATTATTTTTTATTTTTTATTTTGTATATATGATGGATATAAAAACACCAATAATTAATTTGATAACCGGATAAAGTTACATTTATATGTCTCTAGTTTATCGTTAGTTAAGTTTTAATTACAATTTGTCTCTATTTTAAAAATCGGTTTTTCTAATCCTTTTATTTTGCTTTTTAAGGATATTTCTTCAAATTTGAGGACATTAATCCCTCTTCAAACCAAGCATTTGAACTTGGTAAAAGAGTTTCTGTAAATGACCATTATACTTGTTTTTTAGATTTTTGATTGTTGTGTTTCATATTTTCATGGTTCTTTTTTGAGCGACAAATACATGATAATATGAAGGGGGATTAAATTCCTTAAAAAGACAAAATAGAAGAATTATAAAAATTAATTTTTAAAATAGAGGAATCAAAATCGAAAAAAAATATATAATAAAAAAACCAAATTTACAGTTAAATCAATAATTAAATGCAATAAATACACATTTTGGGACGAAAGAAAGACGTTGATAGAACTAGCTAAAAGGTTATTAATTCTTGTAGTTATGAGAGAATCTTTTTAGAGATAATCTATTAATCTATTAGGGGTTGCTCTTCCTACCTTAGTCTTGAAGAGTCAGTCATGTTATTAAAACTCAAAATTGTCTTTTACAAATTTGAAATATGTATTTTATCCACACCACAATTCTTGATAATTGAGTTACAAAGTTATTTTATTAAAAATGAGTTCATAGAGATATCTTTATAAAATTTACAAAAGTATACTTCCATAATAAGTATATTAATGTAAAATTTAGTATTTTTAAAGAAATATATTAATGTAATAAGTAGACTGGTGTAATAGACTATTTATAATAAATATACTATCGTAAAAATTTGTTATCAATTAAATCATATAATTATGTAATAACATTATAATGTCATACATTGGAATCAATCCAAAATTCATAAGACTATCAAAATGAGAAATTACAAACCATAATATAAATATTATTAAGTATATTTTACCTTCATGTTCATTCTCTGCTTCTTGTACTGTAATGTCTTCTGTGCCACAGAAAAAATGATATCTAAAGTAGTCATCACAAGAGTGCCTTCTAAAAACTATCCTCTCTATATCCGCTCGCGCAATATCCATAATACGATGACATGTAGGTAATACATAAACGACATGATATACCCTAGCCTACTTCTTCTCTAATATCTTCTGATGAGTCGATCTAGGTGTATTTTCGTGAGCATCTAGTGTCATGTAAGAATGTCACTGTGATCGGTGGATCTGGAACTGACTGTTTAACGCTGGTTCGCGAAATATCGCGGAAGCAAGAGTCGCCACCGTCTTTTATTTTCTCCAACATGGACAGGACAAAAGCACAGTAAAATTCTTTATGAGATAGTTTCTCGGTTCGGGAGGTAGATTTATAGAAAGGGAAGGTGTTAGCACCCTTTCTATCCATGGTTATCCATGGGCTCTTAGATACTTGCTCATTTGTGTTTTCAAAAATGTTGTTTGCTTTTCAAATGTGAGTGGGTTTGAAAAAGTTTCTTTGAAAGATTTCTGAATGACTCTTGTATCTGTCCTCAAGAGTGTTTGAAAAATTTGTTTTGAAAGCTTTTGAAAGTGTAAGGTGTGAAAAGTATTTTGTTTGTTTTTGAAAAGAGCAAGTACCCATGAGTCATCTACCTACCCTAAGGAATTAAGCTGTGTAAGTGTCCTTTAGATAGTGCTATCCCACCATTGAGAGGTAGGTAGCACCATCGTTGGAGGTGTTCGGGTCAATTCGTTTGTTAGGGACAATGTGGTCACCAGTGCAACAGTAGGACACCTTAGAAGCTACCCTTATGCCATTGATCCTTTTTAAATTCGAGGCAACTTTTTCGAGGCAACTGGATCATGTTACGGACATAAGGATTTACTAAAACGTCCTATATTCGACGACCACGTTTCGAAGGCAAGGCAACAGTGAGGCGTACCCTAAGAGTGGTGTGTGAATTTGTGTGTTGTTTTCATGTTCATATTTGTCTTTGATCATTGTATCGTGGTGATCTACGCTTGTTTTTAATTTAGGCCATACATTCTTTCATGCAAAGTTTAGAATTTAAAAGTGCGGAAATTTAAATGACGGAAAGGTAAATCCTACGCTATTACAAGGCGCGGGTCTATACATCGCCAAATTAACAAAGACCCGTTTTGAATAAAAATACGGAAAGTAAATAAATTCCTAATTACTATTACATGGCTTGAGCAATTACATAATATTCATAAAGGAAAATAAAATAAATGCGCGAAAAAATAAAAATAGAACGTTCGAGGGCGTTGGACCCTTTTTGAAATTAAATTGAAATAAGAAAGTTAATTATTTATTTTATTAAAGAAAAGAAATGTTTTTTAGGTTTTTTTGTATTTATGAAATAAATAAATTAAAATTGAAGAGAAACCCTAATTCTAAGTTGTTTTTAATTATTAATAAAAAAATATTCAAGTTTTAACCTAATTTACTAAATATTTAATGTACATGTTTATTTACAAAAATATTAAATAATTAATAATAATAATAATAATGAGAAAATTATTTATTAAGAAAAAGATGAAAATGCTAAAAAAACCTAATTTCTACATATTTTAATTTGTTAAGAAAAAGATTTAAGTTTTAAAACCTAAATTAACTAGTTAATTATTTAACATTTATTTACAAAATAAATTAATAGAAATTAAATATAATTAAACATATTTTAATTTTTCTGTATCTGATTTTTTTATTGTGAAAATTATTCTTGGTAAATTAAAGAAAACAATTAAAATAATTAATAGAATTAAGAAAGAAAAACAAATTAAAAATTAAAAATTGATGCAAACCATGGGGGGTATCAGGCCCATTTAGGAGGTTTTTTGGAAGTAATTTGGTCCATTAGACAAAAAGCCTTGTTTGACTTTCTAGCATCACGTGCGTGTTCATTGACTCCTGAGTACCGTGGTCTGCATTCTTTGGCCATTGGATTAGGTTTCATGCATAAGTTGTTCTTTTTTGGCCATTTGGCTTTTGGCTTTTGGCTGTTGGCCATTTGTGTTCTGGCCTCAACGTTCCTTAATCTTCTCAGGATGTCTGTCTCGCCATGTATTAGTGTCATGCATAAGTTGTTCTTTTGGCCATTTGGCTTTTGGCTTTTGGCTTTTGTGTTTTGGCCTCAACGTTCCTTAATGAACCTGCATGAAATCCTGTCTAAATCTGCAGTGTTGAATCTCACGAACACATTAAATAAAATCATAAAATGCAAATAAAGCCAATATATGAAGAAATTTAATGTTTAGGCACAATATGGCATGTATGAATGATTATATATTTTTGATCATGGAGATCAAATCAATCTTACCCTTACTGGAAAATTAGTGACCTGAATGCTTTTATGCCCTTTGGATCATGGAGATCAAGCCAGCCTTACCCTTACTGAAGAAGTAGTAAGATGTTGGTTTGTAACTGAGATGGCTTGTTTGTAGTGAGATGTTGGTTTGTAACTGAGATGGCTTGTTTGTAGTGAGAGATGGATTTGTAATAAGGATTTCAAGGTTTTAGGGTTCTTGAAAGAATTTGATATTCTAACAGTGTTGTGGCAAAGTTTTTTTCTCTTTTCCTCCTCTCTGGTTTGTGTGAAAAGAAGGTGATTATATAATGGAAATTAGGGTAAAGAAAATGGGCTTTGAATGTGCAATTGGGCCTCCAATGTTCACTTGAGTTCGTCACTTTCCAGGCTAAATCGCAGGGACTTAAGTGCAATTTTTGAAGTTGAAATGTGAAAACAAAATGTAGCCGACATCGATAACTAACTCCTGTCCGAAAATCGGCTCAATCGGATAAACGGTGAATTAGTTATGAATTTTTGAAGTTTCAGCTCAGACAAACTTATTTTGGGCTCCAGTGTCGACTCTGACACGTTCTTCAATAAAAAACTGGTATTGATCGGAGCATAATCCGGTCTCGACTTTTGAAGAAAAGTTGTAGATCTATGAGTCAGGGACCTTGTGTAAAAATATGAACCCAATCCGATAAAAATTGACCGAGTTATGAATTTTCGAAGTTTCGACCCAGATGAAATAATATTCAGCATTCAGGATTTTCAGCGTGTCACGCACTCTGAGCAAAAAACGAAGGCCTTTTGAATACCGTTTGAACTCAATACCTTATGTGAAAATGTAGCCAACTCAATTTGTGAAATTTTGGCGCTGGAACCAGCTCGATACGATGAAAATCGACCAAGTTATGATTTTCTGAACATGACGCAAATAAACTTCAGTCACAAATTTTTTGTACGAAAATACTTGATAAATCCACATTTTTGAAGACCTTCTGATCGAAATTGGTATCCAGCCGTGAGAGATGAAAACGTAGATAATGTCAAGACAAAATTTTGGCCACCGAAACGGGTTCAAAACGAGCCACGATCTTCAAGTTATGAATTTTTTAGCGCGTAAAAACTGCACTTTCAGCACACTTCTTCACCATATTTCTTCG